TTGTCCTTCTCTGACCCTGGCTGAGTCAATGAGAGAGATCCTTATTACAGATTCAGCTTGACTCTCTTCCCATATCAGCTGAAGAATGTCTCCGCCTCTTGATGTAAGCCATGAACCAGTATTAACTCTGTTGGTTCAAATTTGCTTGAAATTCTTGAATTTTGTCCCAGCAGTTTTTATGCGGGAACACAGGTGTTGCTAGCTTTCTTGCCACTATATCTTGTGCTCTTACTAGGTGGATAAAATTTTGATTCTGTGGTAATGCCTGATTCGGATGAGGATTGCACAGCGAGATGGTCCTCAGAAACATTTAGAAAGTTGTGGAAATAAGGCAGTGACACAGTTTATGGGCAGTAAGCTCAGGTATTTTTGCATAAAATCTGGCAGCGTTTGGGGACTACATAATTTGTCAGCTGCTAGCAATAAATCTCTGCCATCCTGTTGCTCTCCTGCATGGCTCCTCTTGCTTAAGCTGGGTTCTTCTAAGGTAACACTTCCTTTGAGAGTAAATTTAGAGGGAAGGAGAACAAGGCCTTCACTAAAGAATTTGAGTTGACTGTTTACTTTTTGGTGACTCCATACCTCTCTATTTACACTAATTCCAATTCATGAAATTCCTGGTATGGTGGATGCATCTGGGCAGAGGCATATAACAGTAGTGGGTTGCAAGGGGGGGCAGTGTCGGTGGCCCTGTGGCAGTGAGGCTGTGCTAAGAGGGTCAGCACATCCCAGATGGGGCCGAGAGGAGGCCACGGACCGTGTACTGCAGTGGTGCAAGACAGCAGCGCCTGGGTGGGAAGGGAAGTGTGAACCTCGTGCACAACATGCAAGATACGCCACATGATCTCGTTCTATTTTATTCATTTAGGGCTAACAGACCACTGGTACTTCAGAATGAAGCTGAAACACCAACATACCCAAGTACTGTTGAAGAATACACAACAGGAAAAGGTTGGCGTCTCTGTAACTGCTGGTAGTATTTATCAGCAGACGATACTGTGTAAGGAGAGTAAGGAGAGAAAAAGGAGTAAGGAGAGAAAAGAGATTTCAAATTTACTTGCTTGCTTAAAGGTTAGATTGAGAAGAAGGAAAGACTAAAGTATCCGTGTACAGAAGAAAAGACACTTGAACTTTCTAGTCTCATGCTATTTTGATGGCAAAGGGTCTTGTAACGAACATAAATGATTTAGTCATCTGCATGTGCAGTCACTTAATCACTTTGAAATGGATATCAGTACTAGCAATCATTTTAGTTTTGGCACTAGTTCTCAATCAAAGCCTGGCTCTGTGTAATTGCCAGCATTTGAAACTGTGACGTTACACAGCAAAAGCAGACAAAACCAAGATAATTTTCATCAATGAAGGCTAAGGACATGCAGTACAGTGAACAGATTATTCCAGATTTTAACATTGAGTATAAACTGTAAGGGGTTTATTGTCAAAATATATTTTGCAGTATATCTTGAGGTACATAATATGTCCTATAAAATACAGGAGGAGCTTGATGATTGTGATTTTTATTTCCTCTCTTTTTGTTAGAAGGAGAGGAAAGCTTATGACCACAGATGTAAATTTCTGAAGCATTTTTCTTTACTTTCCTGCTTCCCTCCTGGAAGTTCTTACTCTATTCTGTCGTGCAAATTTCCATTCTTTCTTATTCATGTCTTTAAAATATTAGTCTGGTGGTTGCATTTGTGGAGCCCACCTGGAGGACTTCTAGCATAGAAGTTTGCTGTAAAGCAATAGGCTATGCTGTCTGCCCGACCTAGCGCTCCCCGGCTGTGTGTTGCACTGTGCTGCTCCCGACCTCTTGCTCAAAAAGTCCCCGGGCCATTTCTGGTCGGTTTAGATCTTCATGCTCCCATGCCCAGTCCTTGAGCCAATTTATTTCTCTTCCTGACCAGTCAGTGCAGATCTCTGCTGTGCAGTTGGTCAAATACGCTACAAAGCAGAGTACTGGAAGTGTAAATACATGGAAGATTTCCAGCAGTTTAGCTTTTTTCCTCCCACTCTAAGTTAGTATTAAGGATGGTTTGTCTATAGAAGAATGACTTCTTTCAAAAGACGTCTGCTTGTGATATATTTTTATATAAGTGTATACACATTTAGAAATATTTGTAATTAAAACCTCTGAGGAGAAAAAGACAAAAAAAGCAGCAGTAGAGTGCTTGCTAAGTGATGATTTCTTCAAGGTTCTGTTTCTCTGTACATCACGCCAGAATTCAGCTATCAGTAGTTGAAAGGATATACTCAAAGGAGCCTCCTGATGTACGTTACTTTAATCGCCTTCCTTTTAATAGTTTGCATTATGAAGACACGTGCTATCTCATAACCCTGCCTCGAGGGTGATGATGTTTCCCCATATTGTGTAAATAAAAGAACTCCACAGAGAGCTGACAGGGCCAAAAGAAAACAGGTTTTGTGTCTATTGCTGTTCTGATTAAAATCTCACTAATTCAAAGGACAAGTTACAGAAGAAAACCTTAATCTTTTCAAAAAATCTGTTGCAGCCTAATGAGATTCCCAGTTGAATGCATGGTGGCCTGTATTTAAAAAAATCCCATTACAGGCAAACAAATGCTGAGAAACCTTTTTCATTTTTTGTCTTTTTTTTAAATCTTCACCTATGTGGTCATGAAGGCAGTTGGACATTATTACCAACGTGGCACCCATGTATGTGGTCTGTGATGCTAGCAAGTCTATTCTTGTAGTTTACGTGCAAGTTTGTCTTCTGACTGTTATCTCAGGTTCTTTTATTCGTGACTATTGTGTCACGAAATGTATTACCTGGCATTAATCATAAAGTGGCAAATGTTTGTTTGTTTATTTACTTATTTTTAATCCCGACAATTAGAACATGGAATAGAATAATTCTTTGTAGCATTTGAGTTAACGTTTGAGTCCTTTTTCCTTCCTTTCCCCTCCCTTTACACTTGATGCAAATTCCATGTACTGCATTGAATAGATGTAAGGTCAGGAAGCGTCGATTAAGTACTGATGGAACTGACTTCCTATGCTATTAATGAAAACATGACTCATGTTCTAAGGATTTGCAGTTGGATTCCTGTAACTTTTGGTATTTCTGTTGTAATTGTTTTCAGTAATTATATTTTCCTTGAACACAAAATGATCACGAAAGAATTAGTATGTTAAAAGCAAAAACAGCATATTGATTTGTTTAAACTCATCCTAGTACGGGTGAATTGTATATTCATAGCACACAAGATTCTGACACAGACAGTAGATGCACTTGTAATTTTCTTTGATCTTTCCTGTCCAGAAATATCTTTAGTGGGGAATGAAGGCAAATATTCAAATAGTAAACATATCTCAGGGTGTTTTTGTAGCGACCCACTACAAATATCCAGAATTGACATATTTGTGTGAATCACTTCTCTGTTCCTGAGCAGTTGGAAATAGCAGTATGGTTACAGGGAGAAAATATTGAAAACATCAATATAGTATTATTTCCTATAGTAACTTATTTTTTCAGGTTTTTTGTTGACAGTAGAACCGATAAACGCTAAGATTGTAATTGTATCAAAACCTGAGCCATATGCCAAAAGGAAATTCCTGAAGCCCTGGTGTTTTTTCTTGCGGTTGTGTAGTGCCATGGGATGAACTCCATGCCCCCCCAGAGCACTGCGGCAGTAAGAGTGAGCCACAGGATGGACTTGGGAAACTATGGGCAATTCCCAGTTCCTTTATGATTTCAGGAAAGTAATTTAACATAGTCTGTTTCCCCATTCTCCTTTTGGAATATGACAATAAGGTTTCACAATCTGCTTCAAGTTAAGTCTGTTAATGTGCATGTGGTGATCAGACACACCAGTAATGGCAGTCAAGCAGGAAAGCTAAGAACATTTAATGTTTCTTAGATTACTTCTTGAAGCACCCGCACTCAATTGTAATGCTGCTCATGTTTTAAGCATATTTTTGAAACTGGACAGTAAAGTGTATTTCTACATAAATATAGGTGTAAAATGGGCTGGAGAGCAACGGAACTCATTTTGGGTTTTTTCTGGTTTGTGATAGGGAAGTGAAGAGCTTGCCCCGCTTTCTCTGGTTTTTCCCTTGGTAGAACTTCTGGGAATGGTGTCTTCCCTTCTTGTCTTTGTTGGAAATCTGCTGGATGAGAGAACAGAAGTTTGACTTCATTTTATTATTTTTATTGAATTATTTTGATATAGTTTGACTTGTGTCCGGTACACAAGTTCAAGAGGAATGGAAAATAGGCATTTCATTATAAATCCTTCATGATTTGTTGTTCAGGTTTTACTTTTGTCCTTTTCAGTGTCAGCCTATCTGTTGCTACTACAGTTGTCTGTAGTAGCAAATTTTTCAGTGGCATATGACATGTAAGCATTCAATTGCCATTTGTTGGTTTCAAAATCTCTCTCATAGTCTTTCATTAAAGGTGAATTATAAAAGACTTGAATGTATAATGAGTTCTACGTGATGAAAAAATATAGTTTACTATAAAATTTACCTTATAAAGATAAAAGTACCAGAAGTCCTTCTCTTACTTCTTATATATTGTGAAAGAAATAATAAATAGATATTTTCCAGTTTTGGAGGTAGCCTTTAATGTGACTTTGTCCTTTTTGTAGTCATAATTTCCGTATTTGTAAAATTACAAATATTGTGTACTGATTTAATCAGATAATTGCATTTAAGTACAGTGAACTCTCCAGAGCTGTCCACCCCCACCCTCCCGCCAAAAAAAGAAGTTGCTCATTTGATTTATAATCTTTGGGGGAATACATGCATCTTTGTGGCAGTTTTTTCTGTTTGTTGTGCTTTAGACCTAACGATGAAAGAGTTGTTATAGACTTACACATTTATAGAGAAACTGCAATCCAAATTAATTTTAATGATTTTACTGCATTTATTTTTGTGATGCTTAACTTGTGCAGGAGTAATGAGATGGGTAACTTGAAAGGGCCTGTAAAAGATTTGAAACAACATGATTTAATTTAGTAAGAGGAGGGCTCTGAAAGATGACTTCAGCCATGCAGCAGATGTCCTGTGAAACCTGTCCTGCACTTACTTTGGTGCTAGGTCTTGGTTTTGTTTGTGTGCCGGGACATTTCACGTCTGGGCAAATACACTGTATAGCTTGATCTATAAATGGCTTCTGCATTTTGCCGATTTGAGGATACACTGCTGGTGCATCTTGGGTCTGTGAAATCTGTAAGGAAAGGAGCGCTGCACAGTGAACTGTTGATGGGTCCTTAATACCTAGTGAGCACATCTGTCTGCAGCGGCTTTGCCCTTCATTTTTCTGACATAGGTATCAGATGAACTGGATACATCAAATGGATCAGTTTAGGAGCCTCAGTCTTCATAGGATAAATTGTTTATTTTAATTGCTCTTGTTGTTTAATAAAGATCTTAACATTAAGGTATTTCCTTGGGTTTGGATCTGTTTGAACTGAAGACAAACAAGAGAATCCAGTAGTTCTAGTCTTACCTTACCATTTCACGTGCCTTGGAGACAAAAAATGACAGGTAGCCCAGCTGAGGAATATTGTTTTTCTGTCTGGTTGCTGCACATTGAGTACCTTGCGACCTGTGACCTTGCAAGAGTCACAGCATAGTTGTGGTTGGAAGGGACCACCTCTGGAGGTCATCTTGTCTAACCCCTGCTCAGGCAGGGTCACCTAGGGCCGGTTGCCCAGGACCATCTCCAGATGGCTTTTGAAAATCTCCAAGGATGGAGTTTTGAAAAAAGCAGCTTTGGAATTGTTTCCAGCTAAGCTGCTCTAGAGTGCGTTAGTGGCTGCTCTTTCACATTGCAGGTGCAGAGCTCCCAAGGGAGAGGTAGATGTGTTTCAGCTCTCAGTGCACTATGCATAGATGTTGGCTCCCATGATGACTGAAAACTGACATAAAAGGTCATCCATGAGGAATACATGTAAATCCGAATGAGAAACAGTATTTTACCTTGAAGGGTAAAATTTCTGTTGAAATAGGCAAAGTTTAGAACAGGCACTCCAGCACTTCCATGTGTTTTTGTAGTAGTATCTCCATTTCTTTTGGGGAAGGTTTAAGGCATACTCATCTAGGCTGGAGGTTGCTTTCAAGGATGACTTAGAAGTATTCCAATACTAAATGTTTTTAGAGCTGACTAGTTTCTACTGCCTGGAAGAAGGAAACCTTACTGCCAAATTCCCAGAGGAGGAATGTGCCGATATCATGCAAAGAAATTGAAGCGGCTCATCTATTCTGTTGTTCTTCAAGATGGCTTCTAGACATCTGAATGCCCTACCCAATTTTCTTTGGCATTACAGCTTCAACAATGAACCTACAGAGGCCATAGAGAAAAATAAAGTAGCTTTTGTTATGTGTCCCCTGTTCTCCAGATGTTCCGTGCCATCAGGGAAGGGGCAGGGGTCAGCAGAGTATTGCGGTGGGTACTGCTCCCACAGGGGTTGTACTACTCTAAGT